ACCTGAGCAAATGCACTTCCTGCTCCCAGTTCCTACTCATCAGACCCCAGTCCCATACCCCTAACCAACCAGTTCCACCCCCAAATGCCATCAAGAGACATCAAAGATGTGCTCACCTCCACTCTTAACACAACACCATGAGTCAGAAATGAGAAGCCAAGACAGAATTTTACTTTTTATTAAAATGCATCATCAATAAACACATGTGTAGGAGGCATGAAGCAGCATGCCATGGTGTCATGTGGCTGAGATCTGAAAAAGTGTGTATGTGGTGGGGGCGGGGGGGAGCCTGAAGGAATGTCCTCCTTTGGGTGACCTCAAACCAGAAAATGCAGGCATCCCACATCGCAATCTGCTGTTGCTTGCCCACTCAGTGCCATCAGTGACCGCGCAGTACACACACACACACACACACACACACACACACACACACTCACACACACGCCATAACTGCTCAGCTGCCCAAGCATAACCAATCCCCAGACAACCGGAAACATGCTGAGGCTATTTTTTTCAGAGAATAAAAATAACTCATAGAATTGAGAAATTTTGCTTCTTTTTAAAGGACCTACTGAGAGACAGAGTTGCAGAGAGAGAGAGAGATCTGCCGCTGCTGGCATACTCCCGGGATGGCTGGGATGGCTGGGCTGGGCCACACTGAAGCCAAGAGACTGGAATTCCATCCGGTTCTCCCACATGGGTGGCAGGAGCCCAGGGATGTGGGCCACTTTCCACTGCGCTGTCAGGAACATGAGCGGGAAGCTGGATTGGAAGTAGCACCGTTGGAAGTCCCACCAGCGCTTATTTGGGGATGCTGGTGTTATAGGCAATGGCTTAGTTAACTCACTATGCCTCAACATCTAGCTACAGGGCAAGTGCTCTAAGCCATGTATCTCAGTGTTCCTACGCATAAACTTGTCCTCTCCTATGTTCCTGCAGAGTTTAGAATCCAAAGTATGGCCTGAGTTGTTTCCTGTACAGTTAGGTAAGTGGAGGAACAAAATGTACAATGGAATGTCACCCAGGGCCACGTGAGTGAGGCAGACAAAGCCCTTCTTGACTCGGAGTCCGCTCCTGATGCCCAGGGCACCGACGGAAGTCTCCTGGAAGCTGTAGTCCTGCACCATCAGTGTATCTGACCCTTCCTTTAAGAACTGGCTGGCTGAGGTTGGAATTGTGATATGTGGGTTCTAGTCTTGGCTGCTCCTCTTCTGATCCAGCTCCCTAATGTACATGGGACAGCAACAGAAGATGGTTCAAGTCCTCGAGCCCCTGCCACACCCATGGAAGAACGGGAGGAAGCCCCTAGTTGCTGACTACAGCCTGGTCTGATCCCAGCTGTTGTGCCCATTTGGATAGTGAGCCAGCAAATGAAAGATTTCTCCTTCTTTCTGTAATTCAATCTTTCAAATGAAATAAATCTTTAAAAAAAAAAAAGATTCACTTAGACTCACTAGGGTCCCATGCTACCATGAGTGTACCTAAAAAATAAATAAATATTTTTTGGAACCAGTGCAGTAGCCTAGCAGCTAAAGTTCTTGCCCTGCATACGCCAGGATCCCATATGGGCACCAGTTCTAATCCTGGCAGGCCCACTTCCCTTTTAGTTCCCTGCCTGTGGCCTGGGAAAGCAGTCAAGGACAGCCCACAGCCTTGGGACCCTGCACCCGTGAGAGACTCGGAAAGAAGTTCCTGGCTCCTGGCTTCAGATTGGCTAAGTTCAAGCTGTTGCAGACACTTAGGAAGTGAATCAACAGATGGAAGATCTTCCTTCCTGTCTCTACTCCTCTCTGTTTATCTGATTTCTCAATAAAAAAATAAATCTTCAAAAAATAAATGAATAAATAATTTTTAAAATACGGGAAGTGGAGCAGCTGGGAAATGAACCAGTGCCCATATGGTATCTTGCAACGAAAGGACTTTACCCACTAGGCTACCATGCCAGGTCATACATCTTTTTCTAAAAAAATTAAAAAAATACAATAGTGTACCTGTCTCAAGTCTTTGCCCTATTATTCTTTTTACAAGTGATTTGCCTTTAGAGTTACACTCACATCTTCAAAATAAAGCAAACAAAGACACAGCGAGGGGTGGGATATGAAAATAATTTGGAAAAACAACAACAACGAAGGTTGCTTCTTCAAAGACCTTGCAGTTTGGTTCCCACCCAGGCTTTCTTGCAATCCATGGACGTTTTTGGGATTCCCTAGTGCTGTGCCCATGTAATTAAATATGATAGAGCTTACATAATCAAATATGAGGGTACTTCCTTGTACAGATGAGCTATGCTGATACCTGCTTCAACATCAGCCAGACAGGATGAGTTTGCAAAGGGAAGTTACAGTTAAACGGCATCAGGAAGGAATGGGCTGTTTGCAGGAGTCTTGCTCCCTCCAGCAAAGCCTTTCCTAACTCATTTCAGGTCATCTTCTATATTCATTACCCAGGCCTTCCACAGCTATGAGTGTGCTGGAAGTGCGTGCTCGCTAAGGCTAAATCTAGATTTCCAAAGGCAGACAATCCCTTAGCTCCAATCAGCGGGCAGTCCCGAGGCTTGCAGAGGGGAACACGCTGAAGCAGCAACCTCTGTCACTGATGCTAAGGCACCCTCAAGCACAAGATCAACTGCAATGTTCAAGAACCACTCTCAAAGAAAAGAGGACATACCAATGTAAAATGTATCCTAACTTCTAAAATGTCAAAATGTGTGTGTTGGGGAAGGTGGAAGGCGGCAATGGGATGGGTTAAACTGTTGTTTTTGACACAGGCATCCACATGGGGTCTCAGTTCCAATCCTGGCTGCTCTGCTTCTGGTCCAGCTTCCTGCTAAACATGCCTGGGAAGGAACCAGAAGATGGACCCAATAACTTGGTCCCTGCCACCCATGGGAGAGGCTGGGATACAATTTCTGGCTCCTGACACTGGCCTGGCCCAAAGCTGGTTATTGTGGGCATTTGGGGAATGAAGCAGTAGATAGTATACTCTTTCTCTCTGCCTTTCAAATAAAATACAATAAAATAATGTAAAAATGGATCAGGAAATTGAGTCTCACCAAAACACAGCATTCTTCAGGTTAGCTTATTCCTGGCAAACTGGTCCAGGGTTTCTATTTAACCGAGCCACTGAAGTCAAGACGTTTGGATTTGCAGTAGTATGTGCGCCAAGCTGCTGTCATTCTCTCGTGTTCACTTCTCTCCCTTTCAATCAATACTCAGTAACACACTCCAAGAGGTCACAGTTCAGGGCCGCTGGCAGGATCTGCAGCCCACAGTCTGCATCACTCTGTTTACCCTTGGATGGAGCCAGATCAGCAGAGGGCAAAGTTGTGAAACACAGAGGATACGCCCTCTCCCATCAGCCGACACTGGACACACTGAGGACGCCATTAGGAACAATCATGACTTCTTGCAGGTGTCATCATCTTCCCAAAAATGTTTTTTAAATCAACTTCTAAAAATTGAAGTCTAGCATCTATACATGAAAGCACACAATTCATGATGGTATAGGAAGTGAACTAACACAAATCCTCACTCCACCCTTACAGCAGTTAGCTGTGTCTCAGGCGCCTCCTGCAGGACTTGTTCCCATCACTGTATCCACTTCTACCCAGAAGACAATTCCTTTTTAAACTTCATACAAATGCGCTCACACAGCATGTACTCTTTCATTTGGCTTTCTTTCTGCATCGCATCGTCAGTGAAATTCACCCATGCTGTTACAGCAGCAGGTTAATTTTCACTGCTGTGAGCACTCTACTCGATGCACTAGGGTACTCATGGTAAGTGGAGTCAAAGACACCAACTTGTGCAGCAGCAGGTACAGCTGCTCTTTGCGGTGCCAGCATCCTATATGAGAGCTGGTTTCAGTCTCGTCTGCTCCACTTCCAATCCAGCTCCCTGCTAAGGTGCCTGGGAAAACACTGGAAGATGGCCCAGGTTACGTGGGTCCCACCGCCAATGTAGGAGATCCAGATGGAGTTCCAAGTTCCTGGCTTCAGCCTGGCCCAGCCCCGGCTGGTGTGGCCATTTGGAGAGTGAAACGGTAGACAGAAAATCACTTGCTCTCTGTCCTCTTCTCTCTGTAGCTCCACTTCCAGATAAATATACGTCCAAAAAATGGAGTCCAAAGTTTGTATTGCTGCCAAAAATTTGAAATCAGTGAATAGTTTTGCTGTAATATGCATTTTCCATGAAGTTTTTGAAGAACCTTCAGACAAGCCACTCATTCCTTTGGGTAGTTGGTGCTTTGGTGTACATGCTGAGCATTTCTGCATGGTGTCGACCTCAGAGTCCAATTGCTGGGTTCCGGGGTACAGGTACTCATGAGGCTAAGCTTCTAGAAGGTGGCTCTCCCAAGGGAAGCACCACCAACGAGGCCACCACGGATCGCTGTAGCCCACAGCCTACATCCCCACTTCCTCAACCACCACTGCCTCTTGGGATCCAAGAAGCTGAAGGTGTGAAAGCTAATGCCAAAGGCCTGACATTTTCAGGATCTTACTTGTCAGCACAAAGCTGGAGGAAGCAACGGTTGGAAACGACCTCTGGGTGTCACCCTTCCAGCCTTCCAGTAAAGTGAAACCAATTTGGCATGCAGGCCCAGAGCCTGTGGTAGCCTCTGCAGGGGTAAAGGGGGGACACAGGTTCATCTACCCAGGCCCAGGATCTTCTAACACCTACCAAGTATCTGCTGGACATACTGGATGAACTTCCAGGCAAGGAAGGTTTCCGTGTGCTTAGAATCAGTAAGAAAGGCAAGAGTTTAGCAAGTTAGTATGAGGACCTGCTCCCACCAGGGCCAACCACTGCAATCACCTCCCAAACTCCCATCTTCTGAAATACAGGACACTTCTTTCTTGCTCTCAGTACCAGGCCTAGAGCCATCTGCACCTGCTTCTCCATGTAGCACATTTAGGATGTGCCTTTTGCATACAGGTTGAGTATCCCTCACCTGAAACACTTGGGCCCATAGTGTACTAGAGCTCAGAGTTTAAAAAAACATTTTTCAGAATACAAAGATCCTTTAAAAGTAGATGGAAAACAGAATTAACAGATAATGAGCATTTTCCATAAACTGTATGAAGATGCCCTATGCTCAGGCACACATAATGAGATCTCTCAGAGATGAGATCCACACTCTACACATGAAACTCACTGTTTTGCATACACCCCTTACTCACGTAGCCTGAAGGTGGTCTACTAGTTTTGCTAATTCGGTCCATGAAACAAGGTATATGTACATTGAACCATCAGAGATTGGGCATGGAATTTTGCACTTGTGAAGTTACATGGTACTCAAAACACAGAACATTCTAGATGTTAGCTGAGGGATGCTCAAGCTGAATTAACTTGAAGTTAATTAACTTACTTGGTGTCATCATGTACTCTGTGTTTCTGCAGGATGTCTCAAGACTTCTTCCCTGAAAAGGGACAGAAAAAAAAAAAAAGGAAAAAAGCAAAACAAAAAAACTCTGATCATTGGTCTGGGTTGGCCCCATAAGGAGTTATTCACTCCTGGTTCCTCCACGTACAGCTTTTTGGTTGGGTTAAGAAATCAGCAAAAGTACAACTGGAAAATTGAAGCATTCTTTTCACCTCCGGTTTTATACAAATAATCAAAAAATAACTCCTGAGCAACTGGTTTAAAGGAAAAAACAGCAACATATTATCTGGAATTTAAAAAAATAGTAATTAATATAACAGTGTTCTAGGATAAACTGGTTTCATTAATGGGGAACAATCAAAACTGCCATAAAGAAAAGGAAGACTGGAATGTGTGACATCCTGGCCGAACACGAAGGTTTGATCCATTCTGGCTCACTAAGTAACAGGATGGTGTTTACGAGTTTGAAAATTCACCAAACTTTTTTTCCCCCTAGAGCAGTTCCTTGATGATGCATTCTCTTGAGTTCCGTCCATGATTGCCATAGCAACAGTCCTGGGACCAGAACCCACACGCCATTGAAGAACACCAGATAGACCCAGAAGTGGAGCCAGTGGCCAGTGTCAAGGTTGGGGCTTCCGAGTAGCCACTCTGGGCAGAAGGTCATCCAGCCACCGTAGAGCTCGCACACGCACAGAGTGATCTGCAGGAAATGCCTACGAGGGAGACAGGAGCCAAGCATGAGACCAGAGTAGTCTAAGCCGGGTCAACACAGCTGCTAACGGCGGCATCGGCACAGCCTCACGGCAGGAAAGGTCTGGGACTGGAACCCAAGAGCAGAAGCCAAGGAAATCAAGACTCATCCTTTCTGGGTTAGAGGCCATGTGACTGTTTCTGGAAGATCATTCTCAGAGTGAAGCAAAGTCTCTGGGTTTTTCTGGCCTAGTGCTACAGGCAGAATTGCTGAGGGAACCCCTGCTCTGGGAGAAAGGACACCAGACAGTGAGTTTCACCAGGGGCTACAATTTCACCTGTTATGCAGGCAATTTTTATAGCCCTTTGCCAGAAAGTAGAACGGGGGTCACTAGAGGAAAGGAAGGGGGCGGGAGAGTGACAGAAAGAGGTTGGATCAGGGGCATTAAACACAGATGCATGGGGGGAGGGGTGGCGGGGGTCAATGCTGAGCAGTGCAGCAGGATGATGATGGCTCACCACCATCACATATGTCATGGAGAACTGGGAGAGTTGGAAGGCTGTCAGCATAAAAAATAAACGTTTGAAGAGGCTGGAAGGCAAATGGCCCTGACTGGATCATTTTAATTTTATTTTAAAGATTATCTAATCATTTATTTATTTGAAAGGCAGAGTTACAGAGAAACGGGGAGACAGAGAGAGGACACACACACACACACACACACACACACAATCTTCCATCTGTTGGTTCACTCCTAAAATGGGAACAACTGCTAAGATTGGGCCAGACAGAAACCAGGAGCTTATACCTATGTGGGTACAGGGGCCCAAGCACTTGGTTCATTCTCTGCTGCTTTCCCAAGTCACCACTAGGGAGCTAGATGGTAAGTGGAGCAGCTGGGACTTGAATCAGCATTCATATGGGATGCCAGTGCCTCTTGTCACCTGGCATGATGGCTCGATTGGCTAATTCTCCACCTTCAAGTGCCAAGATCCCATGTGGGCGCTAATTTGTGTCCTGATTATTTCACTTCCTATCCAGCTCCCTAGTTATGGCCTGGGAAAGCAATAGGATGATCCAAAGCTTCGGGACTCTGCACCTGCATGGGAGACCCAGAAGAGGTCCTGGCTGCGGATTGGCTCAGATTCAGCTGTTGTGACACAACAGTGAACCAGCGGATGGAACATCTTTCTGTCTCTCCTTCTCTCTCTACAACTCTGATCAGCCTTTCCAATAAAAATAAATAAATCTTTTAAGAAAAAAGAAAAAGAACCTCTCCCTGCATGTGAAAATGAAATCAGCTATGCAGACGACGGGATGGCCAGTGTGCCCAGAATGCAGTGAGTATCTGATGCTCAGGATATGGCAGAGGTTTGAGACGGTCAGAATAGGGTGCAGAGGGAATGCAACCTTGTTATAGAGCCAAGAATACGTCAGGGTGGCAGGGTGCCAGCAGCGTCACAAAATGTGATGTGGGGAGAGTGACCCAACAGCCCGAGTCCTCTTTCCAAGTTGAGATCTTCTGGTGAGGTTTTCTCAGTACAAGAGCAGAAAGCAGAATGCAGCAGCTCTGCTTACTGCAGGTTCTTTTAAAGACCCGTCCCTGGCCAGCAGTGTCCCTAAGGAGAGTGGAGAGCAGGGCAGGTGGCAGGGGGCAGGGGGCGGGCCAAGCGAGCACTATCACAGAGCCTGGCCGACCGCGTGGTGAGCCTTCCTCGCCCCACCCCTTCCACAACCTGGAAAGACTTCTTAGTAATCTTGCACACCTCACTCAGTTACAAACAGGGAATCTGTTCTGCACACAGTGAAAGGACAGACATTCCCAGAGTGACCTGGAGACAAGGGATGGAAAAGAACGTCCTTTTGCTTCTCAAACCACTGCTTGCCACTCAGCCAACACTGCTGGCACTGCTCTGGCCTCACTTGTGATCAGAGCATGAATAGAGTCATATTTCATGTATACATTTATATAAAAGACTGGAGGAGAAGCAGAGAGGGTGGGGGGGAAAGAACTCTTATCTACTGGTTCATTCCCCAGTTCCCACAACAGCTGGGCCACTGGGGAATCCAGCAGTCAGGGCAGAAGCCAGCAGGCAGGAACTCATTCCAGGACTCCCACATAGGTGGAAATAATAATAAATAATAGGGCCTGCCACAGTAGTCTAGTGGCTAAAGTCCTCATCTTGCATCCACCAAGATCCCATGTGGGTGCCAGTTCTATTCCCAGTAGCCCTGCTTCCCATCCAGCTCCCTGCTTGTGGCCTGGGAAAGCAGCAGATGATGGCCCAAAGCTTTGGGATCTTGCACCCACGTGGGAGACCTAGAAGAAGCTCCTGGCTCCTGGCTTTGGATCAGCTCAGCTCTGGCTGTTGTGGGCGCTTGGGTATTGAATCAACAGACGGAAGACCTTTCTCTGTCTCTCCTCTATCTTACTTTCTAATAAAAACAAATCAATCTTTAAAAACAAGAATAAATAACAATAATGAAGCTTAAGTCATCACTACTGAGTTCCAAGGTCTGCATTAGCAGGAAGTTGGAATTAGGAGCTGGAGTTGAATGTCATCCCAGGTACTGAGACAGGACGCGGAGTCTCCACTGGCAATTTTACCTCTAGGCTGAATGCTCACTTTGTAATTCTCATGGGTTTCATTTAAATGGTTCATGACCATCTTGGTGGATGGCCCTGCATTATGGTACAGCGGGTTAAACTGTGGCCTGTTCTGCTGGATCCCATACCGGAGCACTGGTTTGAGAACCAACTGCTCTGCTTCCCAACTAGGTTCCTGTTTATGTGACTGGGAAAGCTGTGGATAATGACTCAAGCTCTGCATCCAGATGGGAGACCTAGTTGAAGCTCCCGGCTCCTGGCTTCAGCCTGGCCCAGCCCAGCCCAGCCCAGCCCAGCCTATTACAGCCATCTGGAGAGTGAACCCATAGACAGAACAATGCTTTTTCTCTCTCTCTCTCACTTGCTGTCTCCCCCTGCCCCATAACTCTTTCAAATCAAAATAAAATGAAATATTGCTCTGGCAGCACCATGATCTTTATTTAACATTAAGCAATTCTCATTTCTCATTTCCTTTACATTCAGCAACTGTGGGCACAGACCTACTTCAAAAACTCACTCAGACCTGGGGGAAGAGTGGCTGCGTACCTTTTTTCAGCAGAACAGGATACTTACCGATAATATTTCTCTTTGACGATCGCATAGATGAGGAACAACGCCAGAGCCCCATCCAGGACAACAGTCAGAATTTCCAAAGACACGATGGTTGGGTCCAGAGAGAGCCATCTTTGATCAGCTTTGCCATATTCTTTCCCTACAGACGAGACACATGACATTACTCAGGGTTATCACTCTTATGACAGCTAATAATCGTATCCTCCTTTAAGAAGGAGACACAATAGTTGCCAATCTCCATTTTTCACCACACCTTGGTGGAAAGTGACAGAAGCTTTGGCATGGACCCACATGTCCCACCTGACCCAAGGAATGAACGGGAACAGTACTACGGTATATCTGCAAATGAATTCATGAGATTTCCCACCAGTGTTCACATGTGCACCTGCCCGAGTCCTGCCCTTGTCATTACAACGAGCAGAGTTCTAAGTGAACTTCAGAGATCAGATTTGGCAGCCTAGGACAATGTCTCAGAACACACCTCCCTGGCAAATTGCAATATAAAGTAAGTAAAGTTGCGATTTGGGGAAAGTGTGATGAAGGACAGGCTTATTTAAAAACATGCTGATTCATAACTGAGCCCACATCCAAGTTACCTTTCATCCCTATTCAATTCCTGGCTCTGTTCTGGACTTCGGCCTCCTGCTAATGCCAAGCTGGGGCAGCAGAGGTGATTGCTCCACCAGGACTGCTGCCACCCCCATGGGAGACTCAGGATCCCAGGTCTGGACCCCGCCTCACGCCAGCCTGGCTTCTGGGGAGTGAACCAGCAGATGGGACTTGCTTGCTTGCTTGCTTGGAGTCTCACACACGTTAATAACAATGTTAAAGCAGTCATTGAAGCAGTGGGAAGGAAGTGGGGGAGGCAGAGCCTGGATCATAACATGAAGCTAAAATGGGCAGAGGGGGCATTTCTGCCTGTTGCAGGGATAGAGGGCTCAGCAACAGCTACCACACAAAGTTCCAGACTCATGATCAAGATGATTCTTATAGAAAGTTCCACAAGTCAGAAAGTCTTTGGAGAACCAGAACGACAGCCACACACTGTAAAAGCCGTTCTTTCACCCTCTGTAGGCAGCATTTTTTTTTTAAGCTTATGAAAGAAATACACATTGGTCCCAGGATCTCACACAGTGAGCAGAAAATGAGGGCGAAACACATTAGCTTCATGTGACTTTAGGAAGAAGCTCTGAGGTCAGTGTGGTCAAGAACACACAAGGTTCCACTCGATAGTCAGAGGAAGGGGTCCCTAGGCCGGCTACTTGGGGACAAAACAGCTGGGATGCAGCAGGCAGGAGAGAGGCCAGCCACGCACAGCAGGCCACTTGGGATCATCCTGCCTGGCCATAGCTATCTGCCTGGCTCCTGAAAGTAACTGGAAAAGAGCCCAACCCTGAAAGCAGATGTTTCCCCCCACATTCAAACAGACACACAATAGCAAATGCACCAGCCAGGGAACCCACAGTCCATGGGGCTATCACTCCAGTGAACACACCAGGGCTGCAGGAGCAGAGAGATAAGCAACTGTCAGACACCTCTCGGCAGTTCCTCCATGCACTCACTCATACTTGTTCAATCTTTCTGGAGCATACAGAAGGTTCTATGGGTCACACTCTGGGAAGGTCAGATCTATGCAATAAGAGATGGGAGGAGAACATGGACACACAGGGGAAGTTCTACTGGAGCCTCGTTGGGCCAATTGGTGAAGACATCTTAGAGGAAGTATTCTGGTCACTTCTAGTTTACCCTGTGGGAATTGCAGAGATGGCCATGTGTATGCTCAACACTGCACAGTTGAGATGGGCCCAGCCAGGGATTGACCCTGTACAGTGCAGGGCCACAAAGAAGTTGCGCCTGGGGACTAAGCAGCTTGCTAGGGGCTCTGGGGGGGGAGTGTGGGAGTGAGAGCAAGACAGGGATGTGGAACGCGCTTCTGTGAGTGGATGTGACCGGCTGTCAGGGAGTTGCCGCCCACTGCCCAGGGCTATGCAGGTATTGCTGGGCCCCTGGGATTGTCAGGAGGCCGTGGCTAAGAGCCACAACCCACAGAAGCAAACCAAGCAAGGGGGCCTCGACTTGGGCCACTGGAACCCCCCAGATTGTACCAGATGTCATGGCACAGAGTCTCATGTTTAAGAGGTGACGTGAAATGTGGCGAGAGACCAGGGCATTTTGGCTGGGGGGAAGTCAGTGCAAAGTCTTGGGGCTGACAGGATTGGTGTGTTGGAAATGGCAGACAGTTCAACAGAGCTGCAGAGGGCAATGCAACAGTTGGGCAACCAGGCTGTGCTGGCAAGGAAGGCAGGATGGGTGGGAAATGGGCCTGCTGTCCACGCCCCACTCCTCCACTGCTGCACCTTGGCTGTGTCTTATATATATGTATGTATTTACTTGAAAGGCAAAAGAGAGGGAGAAAGAGGGAGGTATCTTCCATCTGTTAGTTCACACTGTAAATACTTGAAATAGTCAGGGTGGAGCCCAACCAAAGCCAGAAGCCAGGAATCCTGGGCAGTTCTCCTGTGTAGAATTCAAGTACTGGTACCATCATTCACTCTCCCCTATATGGGATGTGGACATGAAGCAGAGGCTTCACCGGCTGCACCACAAGGCCAGCCCCTTGACCACATCTTTGCTTGCTGAACACCCAGGCATCCAGAGGGCAGCAGGAGGGTTACACAGCTGGCAGACGTGAGGGGTTCCATGGATTCTGTGACTGAGAAGTGGGTTCAGGCAAAGGTGTGCAGGGCAAAGGGACTAGAGGAGACAGCGCTCTGTGAGCAGCTGAGGGTCTTCATCTGCTTTCCGGCCACCATCCATCCTGGGGAAGCCAAGGGCAGGCTGGGTCTCCTGGGTGATTTGGAGACCCCTAGGTGTGAGAAGTGCTATGAACCTTACATCACATACCTGCTTTCAATATCATGAAAATATTGTTGGTCCTCCCTATTTGGGGTGCCAAAGCTGTCTGCAGAGCAAGCCAATGGCAGACAGAAAATATTCAGGTGGGGTGGTGGGGGACTGCACCTGCACAGACTTTTCCTCCTGGTCATTATCCCCCAAACACTACAGCATGAGGACCACCTACAGAGTGCTGGCATCATGCGAGGTGTCAACCAGAGTCTAGTGATGATTTAATGCCCATAGGAGGCTTCTAGGCAACCCTTTGACATATTACCCGAGGGACGGGAGCCTCCTGGAAGTGGGGATCCGTGGGGATCTAGAACAGTCTCCATGGACTGCCAGATGTGGAAAAGTGGTGAGTGCTAAGATGACCAGTAAGATAGCATCTGACGTTTACATTCCCAAGGCAGAGTCAGACCCAGACTCTCTGCTTTCTCTGATGACAGCCAGGATGGAAGCACAGGCAAAGGGGACCAGAGGGACACTTACAGAGGGTAGCGAGGACTCGGACTGGGTGCTCCCGAGTTCTTGGGTCTTCTCAGCTACCTGTGAGCAAAGCTGGACCCTGACACTTCCCAGAATGAGGTTCATCTGCACTGCACGGGGGCTCAGCCTGCCCGAGGGACCACAGGCTGGGGGCTGGAGGCTGTAAGGAACGCCCATGCTTTGCTTCAAGAAGCCCTCGTGGAGCTGACTGAAATTCCTAGCCTTTCTCAGCACCAGTGGTGGTGAACAAAAGTTGCCACACTGCTGATTCCAGAATAGGGGACAGGCTTTCAGGGTCGCGAGAGAAAGGATACACAAAGCTTTGGCCTGGAGCCCAGCGTGATAGCATAGCAGTTAAAGTCCTCACCTTGAATGCACCGGGATCCCATATGAGCACTGGTTCTAGTCCTGGCAGCCCCACTTCCCATCCAGCTCCCTGTCTGTGGCCTGCGAATGCAGTTGAGGATGGCCCAATACCTTGGGACCCTGTACCCATGTGGGAGACCCGGAAGAGGCTCCTAGCTCCTGGTTTCAGATTGGCTCAGCTCCAGCCATTGTGGCCGCTTAGGGGTGGAGGGGGGGTGAGTCACTGGACAGAGGATCTTCCTCTCTGTCTCTCCTCCTCTCTGTATATCTGCCTTTTCAATAAAAACAATTTTTTTTTTAAAAAAAGCTTCATTCTGGGCAAACCCTGAAGGCAGCTGTCTCGAGTGAGGCAGGTTTTCAACAGTGGCAAAGGACTCGGCTCCCTGGCTCAGTCAGTTGTCGGGATTGATAACAGTACTTGGGCGGCAGGCCACACTGTTGGATGCTGACTGATGGGAGCACGACAAAGATAGGGAAAACCAGGAGCTGTCTCTGTGGGGGAGGTAACAGTTCTGGAAATTACCAATAAGAGAGATAGGCACAAGGGAAGGAGGCTGACACGAAAAGTATGAAAAACTAAGCTAACCAGGTTACAGCTTCATCTGCACTCACTACAAACATTCCAAAAGAGATTGATTGATTGATTTGAAAGGCAGAAAGAGACAAGGGGGAGGGAGAGATGGAGGTGGGAGACAGCGGGCGTTTCTATCTGCTGGTTCACTCCCCAAATGTACCTAACAGTCAGGTCTGGCTCGGGCCAAAACCAGGAGCCAGGAACTCCACTCAGATCTCCCACATCATAGCAGGAATCCAAGTACTTGGGCCATCACCCACTGCCTCCCAGGCACATTAGCAGGAAGTTGGGTTGAAACTGGAGGGGGGTGACTTAATCCCCAGCACCCCCATAAGGGATGTAGGGAGCCCAAATGATGGCTTAACTTCTTATACCATTATATCTGCTCCTTTTATTCTTTTTTAAAAACATTTTTAAAAGTTATAGTTTTATTGAGATGTCATTTATGTATCAGGAAAACTCATCAGTTTAAAGGATGGGCTTTAGAATATCCAGATTTGAATCATCACTATTGTGCTCCAAAAGAAGCCTGTCCCCATCAGCAGCCACTCCCTACTCCCCCGACACCCCCACTCCAGCAGGAGGCAACCACATCTATCAGCTGCCTCCGCAGTCACATAAATGGGTACAAGCATTCACTCTTCCCGTCAAGCATCCTATTGACATTCGCGCCCGCAGTGAATCACTTGCAACACTCCAAAGGCAAACATTTTGCTTTACTTACATAAAGATGCAATCAAGCCATCAGAGTCTGCAACACTCCCCACCAAAGACAAGTAGACAAACGGACCCTCCTAGAGAGAAGGAAAGACATGCTCTAGTTTAGCATCACCACCACAGGATGGCACTGCAGACACACAGCCCTGCACAGCAGCAGCATCCCAAAGTCCGGGAATGCCACCCGCCTCATCCCACCTTGCGGGCTGTGATCCCCAGCCTGGCCACATTGACTTTGTAATGGACATGCTCAAAGTTGAGGTACATATACGTTTTTCCCTTCAATAGCTGGCGTCACAAAATCAGAGGTGCACACCTTTTCTCCCCATTGTCAGAAGTTATTAGGCACTGAGCTGATCATGACAAGCAGTTTTTTTAAAAATTATTATTATTACTAATTGTACACATTTGTGGGGCATTTGGGATATACATGTGGGGAATCTTTTCTCCCAAGGGTCATTTGGCTATTTACAACATCGTTTGTGGGACTCACAAAGTTATCAACATGAATGTTGATAGATAGATAGATAGATACATAGATAGATACATAGATACATAGATAGATACATAGATACATAGATACATAGATAGATACATAGATAGATTTTGAGTCCTGCCTTTGGCTGCCTTGGCAGGGCCAGATGATTTTGCGAGTCCTATACAGCCCAGAGGTATAATGGTCCCCATCACTGCTGGGTACATCACACGCAATGAACAAACCAGGGCAGGCAGTATTTCCCATCTCCTTCAACACTTACTTTTGTTTGTTTAATCTCTAATAATTCTGCATGTTCTCCAAAATATTTATTTCAAAGAGCATCAGACAAGGAAAGAAGACACAGCAGAGATCTTTCATCTGGTGGTGTACACCTTTGTGAGACAGTGTGATCATCCTTTCTTTTTGAAAGGAAGGAAGGGAGAAAAACAGACACATATACAGACAGAGGGTGAGTTTCCATCCAATCTTCACTCAATAGCCACAATTGCCAGAGCTGGCCAGGAAGAAGCTACAGCTGAGAACTCAATCTGGGCCTCGGCATTCATGGCAAGGGCTCAAACACTCGAAACATCACCCGCTGCCTCCCAGCAGCAGCAGGATTTGAACCCAGTTCTGGGATGCAGGAACCTTAGCCACTAAGCTAAGCGCCAGCCCCACTTCATCACCCTTGATTGTCGTTACCCTTCTGTCAAACTGCCCCCTTCCCTAGGCTTCCTCTCATTGCCACACCCAAACTTCAAGGCTTCCCACAATCCTAAAGTTCCTGTTTTCTTAGGAGGGCCACGTAAGACTTAGTGACACAGGTGCAGAGAGAACACAGTGGAAAACTACAAGGCCTGCAAGCTGGGTGTGTGCAGAGGACAAGCCCAACCTACAGAACCAAAAACACCAGCATGACCAGAATTTGAAGGCAGGAACCTGTTCAGACACCAGGGGCCCAGTGCACAGGGAGATGCTGGTGCAACTTCACTCTAAATGGTCTACCCCAGGCCCTTCCCTTGCCCCAAGTCAGAACACGCCTCGCCAGCGTTCCCCAGGCCAGCTTCTCCTACCCAATGCACACAGTTTCCCCCAGACCCCTGAGCCAGAGACCTGTTATCTCCTTTCCTGGTCAGCCACACAAAGCTGCTCTACTCCCCAGAGATCGATGCCAAATGCTAGATCACAGCGAGGACCAAGCAGAGACCCTACCTCAGTGGGTAACATTTCCTCTACTCACTCCCTAAATGGGGACCTACCTCAACAAACTGAAAATCTCAGCACACCCATCCATCAGTGCTGTGCACTGTGCGGCGTGAGGGTCCCTGGGGCGACTCCCTCCACTGCCCAGGCCCGGCTCCCAGTCTCTGTCGGCTTAACTCACACTGGCACGACAGCCACCAATCATGCTTGCATTCCAGCTCTGTAAATACTCTATCTTCCCCGCTCCAGCTGCAGGAAGATTCTAAAGCCGATACACCAATCAACAGTCTATCGTGATTATGGACGTAGCCCCTGCTCTAAGGGTTCGGTGGTTCGAGTCTTCTGTCGCTGAAAGGAGAAGGCTTCAAACAGAAGAGCTTTCCCTCCCCTCTGTCACGAATGTCTCAAAATCATGTTACATTTTAGCTTGCATCATATTTAAACCATGATGTTCTTTGTAAAGATTTATTTATTTTTATTAGGCAGATTTACGGAGATGGAGAGACAGAGGGAGAGATCTTCATCCGTCATTTCACTCCCCAAATGACTGCAACAGCCAGAGTTGAGCCAAGCTGAAGCCAAATCAGGAGCTTTCTTGAGATCTCCCATGTGAGTGCGGGGTCCCAAGCACAGGAGTCATTCCCTGCTGCTTCTCCAGGACACAAGCACAGAGCTGGATCAGAGGTGGAACAGTCAGGACTTGCCCATACAGAATGTAGGAACTGGTCCTGGCACGGTAGCCTTGTGGCTAACATCCTCGTCTTGAATGCACCAGGATCCCATGTGGGCACTGGTTCATATCCCAGCTGCTCCACTTCCCTTCCAACTTTCTGCTTGTGGCCTGGAGTCGAGGATGGCCCAAAGCCTTGGGACCCTGCACCCACATGGAGGACCCAGAAGAAGCTCCTGGCTCCTGGCTCCTAGCTCGGATCTGCTCAGCTGCGGCCGTTGCAGCCACTTGGGGAATGAACCAGTGGATGGGAGATCTTTCTCTCTGTCTCTCCTCTCTGTACATATGACTTCCCCCCAAAAAACAAATCTTTAAAAAAAAAACGCAGTCACTGTTGGCAGAGGATTAGCTGACTACAGCAACACACTAATCCCAAATCATAGTTTCCTTAACATATTTCTTATCTATCCTAGAGTTCATAATTGTCTTTTTCTGATAGAATCAGACTTATGATTATTTTTTATTTCCTTATCCATTTTAATCTCTGTTAAGCAAAGACTTTCAGTGTAAGTGCTGTGGCGTAGTGGGTTAAGCTGCCATGTATGACACTGGCATCCTATCTGGATGCAGATTCCTGTCCCAGCTGCCCCACCTCTGATCCGGCTCAATGCTAACGTGCCTGGGAAGGCAGAGGAAGATGACCCAAGTGCTTGCAACCCTGCCAACCATGTCAAAGACCCAGATGAAGCTCCTGGCTCCTGGCTTAGCCCTGGCTGTTCTGGCCATTGGAGATGAACCAGCAGATGGAAGAGCTCTATCTTTCTCTGTAATTCTTTGAAATACATGAATAAATAAACCTTAAAAAAAAGGTTTTCATGCCAAATTTTTCTTTTCTTGATACTATTTTAAGCCATTTAATTAAAAAATGTGCTTTATCTGAATATATGTAAAAATTAATATTTTTGTTTAATTCAAAGAGACCCATAGCTATATTTTTATAGAAGCAAGTATTCCAAGTATTCCCAGTCCACTGATTTTGCAATGCTTTATTTTCCCCAGCCAATTTATTTATTTATTTTTAGCACAGCATAGTGGAAACTCTACACCACTTCCTTGGCTTGGCCTGGGAACTTTCTAGACAAAGTACATCCACTGGGCTGCCCAGTAAGGGCATGGGGCAGGGCTGAATCTGACCCCTTCTAGGCCTTAGGCCATCCATCCACGAATGAAAGACTCCCTAAAATTAGACTGCAGAGCTCATCTGAAAACCAGATACGACTTCTGCTAATAACCTCTTCTTCAGGAGCAAGCAGCAAAACACGAGTTGTGACACAGGGCACTGAGGAGCTCCTGGGGACCTGCACACCACTGACACCCAGGGACCCACAAGCCTGGAACAAAGTCATCTCCTTTCACTTTCACCTGTGGAAGTCCTGCTCCTTTCTCAAACTTTCCTCCCTCTCCCTGCCCTTTTTTAAAAAGTATTTTATTACTGGAAAGTAAGAGTAACAAAGGAGGAGGGCAAGAGGAAGGGGGGGCGGGTAAGGGAAGACAGAGCAAGGAGGAAGAGAAAGAAGGGGGAGGGGAAAGCAGGAAGTGTGTCTATCCACTGATTCTCTCCCTAGAGGGCCATGATGCTGGGCTGGGTCTAGGCCAAAACCAGGAGCCTGGAATTCCTGGTTCCAAATACCTGGGCCATCTTCTGTGCTTTCCCAGACACGTCAACAGGGAGCTGGACCAAACCAGCACTCAGACATGGTATGTAGGTGTTGTTCACCTGCTGGGCCACACTGCTGGTCTCCAGGTTCTTCTAAGAACACCTCCTGAAGCTGGCGCTGGGGACCTCATAACTGCCACATTATTCCCCTATACTTCTGCCATCACTGACTGTCTGCAGGTTCGGGTCCTCTGGCTCCCCTTGCAGCATACATCTCTGGGGCCTGGAATATTATTCTCTCCTCCTTGCATCCCCAGGCTTCCAGGTGGGAGTTTATGTTCTGAGTCTGTTAACTTTTATCTGAAGACAAGAATGCATTATTTCAAAAGACATCTGCCCTGAGGAGGCTCTTAGAAGGTCCCTATGCTTCTTATCAATGCCCTGCATGTAGAGGCAGGATGTGGATATGTGTATATAATGTGAAGAGCTTATCTGAGCCTTCAAGTGCGGATAGATATGATACCTTCTCCAAAAAGATTTAACTTCTCCCACCCTGAAAACAGCCTACTTCCATAGGGCAAAGTCTGTCTGCTTCTCTATATTCCAAATGGCGGCTACAGAGTCCCTGTGAATACGAACTTACTAAATTGAACAAGAAATAAAAACAGAACAAGGGAGGAGTATACAAAGCAACAGAGTCAAAGCATCCAAACAGAAAAATAATCAATTGAAATGACAAGACAATTCACCCAGGAGGACACCCAGAAGGCAAATAAGTACACGAAAAGGTATCCGATGTCATGAAGCACCAGGCAAAGGCAAATTGAAACCACAATTATCACCAGGTTACTATCAGAGAAGCCAAAATAATACCAATACCACCAAATGTTAGGGAAGGGTTGAAGAAAACAGACCATTCACATGCTGCTGGTGGTCAAAGTGGTACAGCCACTCCAGACACTGGCATCTGGCAGTTTTCTTGTGAAGCTAAATAGACAGTCACTAGATGATCCAGAAATTGTCTACTCGGGTGTTTAATCAACAAACATTAAGACATATGCCCACATAA